TTACCAAAACATGGCAGTCTGGCCGCTCAGGTCGAGCGGTGCTAAGGTATACCAAATACGAGCATGTGGGTGATGCAGGTCATAGCCGCTGACTCTGCATCTCAATGTCTTATCCGCGGCCGCCGAGCCTCCCCGCCTCCGCGCTCCACGCGCGGGAGCTGCCCTTCTAGCCGTCGCCAGGCGGATTGGGAGCGCTCGCGCGGTATCCACGGGACCACGCCGACGCCCCCTGCGCGACCTCGTTTGGGGCCACGTACACTCTAGGCGATGCTTAAGAAAACCCAAGTTTTCGGCCAGAGTCTCGATGATTCTCAGTGTTTCAATGTAAATCCCGAGATTTGAAGAGACATTCTGGGTTTTTATTCAAATTCTGAGACTATGCATTTCTCAACCCATGATTTCTAAAGCATTTCGCAGGGTGCACTGCAGCTTGGCGCCGTGCACGGCCGAAGTCGGCCAGACGCTGGCGCCGTGCTCGGCTCTGAGGAAGGTCCAGAGCTCGACCGAGGCCGCGTGACGCAGCGTCGCCATCCGCGCTGCAGGGTACTCGATGACAATCACGTGCCGCACCACGCCCATCACGCAGCTGGCTGCCGCACTCCGCGTCACCGCGACGTATGCCGCGGGGTCGCCCTGCCGCATGTGGAATTCCTGCGCGGCGGAGCGCGCCAGCGCGCTAATGGAGGCGATGCAGGCAATTCCCGCGGGATGCCCGGTGCGATCAGGCGCGAGCGCGGGCCCCTTCCCACCCAGCCACGAGCGCCCCCTTGGATATGCCCTATGTGCACGCTGCTGGATTCGGCGTGCCAGCTCGCCCGATGTTTTGTAGTGGGTCACTGCGCGCGGGGTAAAAGGGGGGGGGCGACGATCGCACGGGCGCGGGCGTGAACCACAGCCGATACAGCTGCAGATCGCGAGTGCAATGCAGGCTGCAGCTCGCGACAAGGGCACGGCTTCAGCTCGACCCGACGGTTGCGCGCACCGTGAAAGGATTTGGCGATGGGGCGAGCTGCAGCTCGCCCCGAAAGAACCTCAAACGCATGCGAACAACATCATTTGGTGATTGTCAGTGCCAGCGTCTGTGATTTGCTCCCCCCATGCTCCCCCACCCCTCCTTCTCATCTGGTCACCCTTTCCCCCGCGATGATGCTCCGCCCAAAGAAACCTAGATTGCTGCCCACACACACTACCGAATGGTACATGTAGATAACCCCGCGTGAGAAGGAATTCCACTTGTCAGAAACATGTTCAGCAGCCACTTGCGCGAACGCCACCTATGCGATGCTAGAGAAATGGGCAAGCAGCCTCTGACCAGCATTGCAATGCCATAGCGCGCCTGTAATACCATACGTGTAGATAGTGAAGGTGCACCATTGAAGCCGATACCATGTGATAAGTACATTGCGAAGTTGTTCAACGGCACGGTGTACTCACGTTGTTGCTAAGTGGCAAACGGTCGAAGCATGCGCATGGTGACGTCCCGCGAACCGAAGTGGCAGCCACAAGCGTATTACGTATGCGCACAGTGTGGTCCTCATCAGTAAACCTACCATAAAACAGCAGCGATGTGCGGATGCAGCATTTTATCAACATCTCGAATGTACACGGTGCACATCACACGGCGAATTAGCATACGTGACCAAAGCTCACAACACATGCCTATATGTTGAGCAACTGTGCAACGTACATTCGCCTAGCAGTAGCAAGCGTTATACCTTTGATTTCCATCACGCGCCATGATATTCACAAACGTAAGAAAACGTAATACATAGCATACAGCATTGTTAACCACGCATGCCATACCATAGGTTTGTAGTATTCTGCTGGAACATGTACAATTCTAGTAAACGGGTTACAACCGGTGAAGGTAGTATAATGTATGCTGCAGCATGGTGGACATAAAAGTATGTTTACACCAGCTTATGACCAGACTAGAGTAGGTTTGAACCAACATGCTTAATGGATTTACGCAGTTGTAGGTCAACCTGCTAACTTGCTTTAACGTCCTTACGTTCTTCCCCTAAGCAGCTCAGATATTGTAAGCCCAGTGGCAGATCACAGCTCGTTATAACAGTGTACGGCACGTTTGAGCCGGGTCTGAAGTAGTATACAGTTGGGTACAAGCCCATTCGTTAACAATAGCTAGACGCTTCGCGTATCCCCATCAGCACATCCAGATATTATGTCCAGGTGAGTTGAGGTGATCAGGGAAATGCGGGGGCAAAGGGTGGGACGGCCGAGCCATGCGAAGGAGGGAAGAGGAGAAGGAGGAGGCTGGATGGATGGATGAGGGAGTGGGCAGAAGGAGGAGGAGGAGGAGGAGGAGGAGGAGGAGGAGAAGGAGGAGGAGGAGGAGGGAGAGGGAGGGAGGAGCAGGAGGAGGAGGGCAAGCAAAAGGACCAGAGGTCTCTTGGATGCCTCTCGGAGCCTTTTGGGACCTCTCTTGGGCGCTTCTCGGTGGCCTATTGGGACGTCTTGGGGGTCTCTTGGCGGTCCTGGGGAGCCATTCGGCGTCTTGGGTGCCTCGGGGGGGCCTCATGGGGCCGCTTAGGGTCCTCTTGGGGGCCTCCTGAGGGCCTTTGGGGGGCCTCTTGGGGCCTTTGGGGACATGTTGGGGCCTCTTTGGGCCTCCTGAGCGCTCTTGGGGCCATCTTGGAGGAGATCGATTAAAGCAGGGGGGGGTCCCTAATTAGGGCTGCCCCTCTAGAGCCTATGACATCGCCTCTTCGGGCGCTCTTTGAGCGCTCCTGGGCGCTCTTGGGGCCGTCTTGAGGCTCTCTTGGGCCCCTTCCTGGACCCTTTTTGGCTATCTTGGAGCCATCTTGAGATCTCGGATGCCTATCGGACGCGAAGGCGAGAAGGCAACAAACATGTTTTTTTCCTGCGGTTTGGGAAGGGTTTGGGTCTCGCGGAGGCCTCCTTGGATGTCTTAATTTTCTTGGATCCTCCTGGAGCATCCTGGAAGCCATCTCGAGGCATTTCGGGCTATCGTGGAGGTCACCTTAGGCTTTCAGACGCCCTCTTGGAGCCGTCTTGGCACAGCTTGGACGCTCTGACCGCTCGCGACCGGCCTCGTCCAGGTCCAGGGGAGGGGGTAAGGAGAGGGGTCAAGACCCCCTCCCCGCCCGCAAGCCGTCTCGCTCACTCCCACCCGCCCTCCCAACACATACGTAGCACCCGAGTCTGGCCCGAGCCTCAGCATATTCAGCAGTCGTCTTTGGATGGGCAGCTGCTGGGGGCCAATCCGCCGCCGCCGCCGCCGCCGCCGCCGCCGCCGCTGCGCCGCCGCCGCCGCCGCCGCCGCCGCCGCCGCCGCCGCCGCCGCGCCGCCGCCGCCGCCGCCGCCGCCGCCGCCGCCGCCGCCGCCGCCGCCGCCGCCGCCGCTGCCAAACCCGCCGCCGCCGCAGCCGCCCGCCGCCGCCGCCGCCGCCGCCGCCATCCCCGCCGTCGCCGCCGCCGCCGCCGCCGCCGCAGCCGCCGCAGCCGCCGCCACCGCCGCCGCAGCCGCCGAAGCCGCCGCCGCCGCCAAGTGTACTGTGTATTGTTTTTTCACAAGGATGGCGGGGGGGGGCCGCATCGGGTTGGCTGCGCATGTTCCGAATTTGGAGGCGGAGTGTGTTTTGTATTGTTTTTTATAAGGGATGGTGGGGGGGGGGGTCGTCATGGACCTTGGTTGGCCCACAGTCGCCTGGGGGAGGGCGGAAACAGTGATCAAGCTACCCACCCGCCGGCAAGCAAGAGCATGTTCAGCGGTCGTTTTTAGATGAGCAGTTACTGGGAACCAAAGCCGACCCCAGGTGCGCAACGCTTGGGCGAGGTGCGCCACGCGTGCCAGGGGCGCCACGCGCGCCAGGCACCTCTGGGGCCTGAGCGTGCCAGGCACGCCTGGTGCGCCAGATGCGCCACGTGCTCCGAGTGCGCCAGGTGCGCCGCACACTCCAGCCGCGCCAGGTGCGCCACTGCCGCGTTCGGGGCACGTGGAGAGTGAGTCAGGTGCGCCTGCGCACGTGACAGCACACATCGGGAAACAAGCCGGCCCCCGCCATCGTTGTCGAAAACCAATGCCCATCATTGTGTCTGGTGGGCCTGCGCACAGCAGGCCACGCGCCCCCCCCCCGCCGTCCCTGTCAAAAACCACTTCGCAGTGATCGCGGAGGGGCCGCGCATGATCCAGTTTTAGCCGAGAAGTGCATGTTGTGTTGTGTTGTTGTCAGGGATGGTAGCCCTGCGCGCAACAGGGAATATGCTGACGCCCCCGCCGTCCCTGTCAACAAACCGTACAGAATGCTCGCGGGCCTTACGAACATGACTCCTCTTGGTGGAACATTTGAACAGGAGGGCCCTCGGACAGGGACAGGGGGAGCGGCGACGGCCACAACGACGACGATGACGACGACGTCTCAATTGAAAAGCTTCTCACACACGCCAGCAGGGTCGGCGCATTCGCTTTCCTGGCCAAGCAAGGCGGGCGTATAACCGTACAGTGCCGTTTTTTATACATGCTCCCCGTGCGGATCATGTATGACAAATATTGGAATTTAGAGTTGAAATCAGCAATGAGTTCATGCATCAATTTATTCGTACATTAGTCAAATATTAAAATCATATATTTGAAAAATCCTATGTATCATGAGCTGCCCTGTATACACCGCTCCTGGTCCCAGGTTGGGCCAGGCCAGGATCAGTGCATCTGTGTGGACCCCGTCGCCCCACGAGGCAGGGCGGGGGCGGGGCGGGGCCCGAGGGCTCCGAGGATCCGGGGGCGGGATTCTTATCCACCGCCGCCGCCCAGGGAGGGGATCGATCCTTCGGGGCTTCGGCGGGCGGCGGCTGTGGACACGTGCGGGCCCTGGCGGGGCTGAATGTGTCCATGGATCCGCCGCCTGTCCTTGGCATCGCTCGGACGTGTGCATGTTTCTTTCGGCGAGGACCATCGAGGGGCATCCTTGATCATTTGGCGATAAAGCCACGCACGGAACCAGAAAAAAAGCACAGGGAATGGACGTCCGAGCGATGGCCAGTGTCGCGGTCCACGAAGATCGATCCCCCAGGCGGCGGTTATGGAGAAGTCCCCGCCGCGTTGAGGAGGGCGAGCTCTCGCCCGAGCGGGCGGCGCGGCGACTCGCCGCGTGGGCCGAGGACGCCGCGCGCCAGGAGAGGTGGCTCGCCTCCCGCGGCGGCGGGCTCGAGGCTCCTCTCCTGGGGGCGGGCGGCGGCATCCTGCGCCTGAGGGACTTCCTGCCGCTGGAGGCGGCGGAGAACACCCTGAGGGTGCTCGGAGATCTACTGACCTTAGTGGGCCCTGGAAGCGACAGGGCTGTTTTTTGACCGATTCCGCTTTGACGTTTTTGTTGCCGGTTCCGACGCTGTTTTTTTACCGGTTCCGTCGCCGTTCTTTTACGGGTTCCCGCTCCGGTTCCAATCCTGGAGCCGTTTTTGTTGCCGTTTTTGCCGTTTCCATTTTCAAGGGACACGTTTTCGGAAACGGTGAATAGACGGCCTTGCCGTTTCTGGGGCCCACTGAGCTACTGACCCGGGTCAATCCAAGCCCGGGCCATTCGGGCTTTGCAGGATCCTGCAAGATTTTGCGGGGTCCTGCAGGATCCTGCACCCAAGCCCGGGTCAATGCAGGACTGGCTCTGCAGGACAGGCGATGTTTCTCCCCCAATCCCCGAGTTTCGCCCAAAAAGTTTGGCCGCTCAGAAAAATGGAAAAACCCTGGGATACACCCCAAGGGGGCTATTCGGACGCACCCCTATCGAGGATGGGCACCCCCCCATCGTATATCCCAGGGTTGGGCCCCAAATTTCTGGTCCATTCGGAAACCCCACGAAGCCTGGGATAGGGGTCGACGTATCCGTTGTTAGGATCTTGCAAGGTCCGGCGCTCTGACTGACCCCCGTTTGCATTGACCCCCGTCCCTTGGGCCCCGAGGTGCTGGAGGCGCTGCCCGAGTCCGTGTGGTCGCTCTCGGAGCAGGGCGGCGACGCCAACGCCGCGGAGCACCGCTTCTGGTCGGCGGACGTCGCGGACGTGCCGCAGCTGGCGCCGCTGAGGGGCGTGTTCTGGAGGCTGCTTCCGACGCTGCGGGGGGAGCCCACGCTGCCCATCTTCTCCTGCGGGCGCTACGGGGCCTCGGACCACATCTCGGCGGCGAGCGAGGGGGGGGAGTGAGAAGGACACGGCCTTCTCAGGAGGCGGCGGGACTTCTCAGTGGCCCTCGCCCCTGCTGAGAAGTTGTCTGCGTCTTCGGTAAAAGGCTTATTATATCTGATGGAACAAAATCCTGGGGAGGCTTGTCCAAGGGGGGTTGTCCGGGAGGGGTGTCCGGATCCATGTGGGGTTGTCCAGGTGGTTGTCCGGGCCGCGTTGTTTTGCCAGCACGTGCGCAGATCATGATCAGACATACCATCAAAAGCATGGCACAGCCAGGGAAGCTCAGCTGGAATGTTGCCTCCTCTCTTTCCCCCTTCCCTTCCCATTCGCTCCTCGCCTCAGAAGGCCGGGGTGCTCCCGAGCCTTCTGAGAAGGCCTGCCCCTTCTCGCCTCCCCCCCGGGCACGCCGCCGAACATCGGCAGGCACAACGACGAGGGAGACACGCCGATCTTCGGCCCGGGGAACATCTTTTCCCGGAAGGTCGCCGCGATCTGGCACTTGACAAGAGAGTGGCAGGAGAGCGAGGGGGGAGCCCTGGTCGACCTCCAGCCGGAGGGCGGCGGGAGCATCAGCCACGTGCCGATCTTCAACTCGCTGGTCGTCTTTGAGGTCCCGCACTGGCACGCCGTCTCGAGGGTGACGGCGGAGCGCTACCGATATTCGATTTTTGGCTGGTGGCACCAGAAGAAGGTCGCGGGAGGGCCCGGCTGAGATGCCAGCGGCCCTCCCGAACGAGGGAGCAGGCGGTGGAGGAGGAGGAGGAGGAGGAGGAGGAGGAGGAGGAGGAGGAGGAGGAGGCGGCGGAGGGAGGAGAGGAGGAGGAGGAGGAGGAGGTGGAGGGGGAGGAGGAGGAGGGGAGGAGATGAGGAGGAGGAGGCGGAGGAGGAGGAGGAATGAGGGCGGGCGGGGAGGGATGGGGGAAGGGGGGGCGGGGGAGGGAGGAGAGGCGGAGGAGACGTGGAGGAGAGGAGGTGGGGAGGAGGAGGAGGGCGGAGGCGGCGGCGCAGGAGGAGGAGGAGCGGAGGCGGAGGCGGAGGAGGAGGCGGAGAGGAGGAGGGCGGCAGGGAGGCAGGGAGGGAAGGAGGGGATGGGAAGGGAGGGCGGGAGGGAGGAGGGGCTTGGAGGAGGCGGGATAGGGGAGGACGAGGAGGATGAGGAGGCAGGACGAGGAGGCAGGGAGGAGGTGGAGGCGGAGGGGAGTGGTAGGAGGAGAAAGAGTGTGAGGCGGAGGGAGGAGGAGGCGAGGCGGAGGCGGAGGACGTGGCGGGGAGGAGGCTCGGAGGAGGAGGCGGAGGAGGAGGAGGGAGCGGAGGAGGCGGAGGAGGAGGAGGAGCGAGGAGGGAGGTGGGGGAGGACGGTGGAGGAGGGAGGGAGGTGGGCGGCGGGCTGGTAGGGGCGGCGGGAGGGCACCACGCGCTAGGAGGAGCGGGCGGAGGGACGAAGGGATGGAGGGGAGGTGGATGGATGGGATGGGGAGGGTATGGAGGGATAGGGATGGAGGGATGGAGGGAGGGGAGGGGAGGGGAGGGAGGGGAGGGGAGGGTGAGGGGAGGGAGGGAGGGAGGAGGAGGAGGAGAAGGAGGAGGAGGAGGAGGGAGAGAGGGAGGAAGGGAGGGACGGAGGGACGAAGGGATGGGGTGTGGAGGAGGAGGAGAGGAGGAGGAGGAAGAGGGGAGTAGGAGGCATGGAATAGGAGGAGGAGGAGGAGGAGGAGGAGGAGGGGCGGGGAGGAGGAGGAGGAGGCAGTAAGAAGAATAAGCCGAAGAAGAAGAAGAAAAAGAAGAAGAAGAGGAGGAGGAGGAGGATGAGGAGGAAGAGGAGGAAGAAGAGGAGGAGGAGGAGGCGGAGGCGGAGGCGGATGTGGAGGCGGAGGCGGAGGCGGAGGAGGAGGAGGAGGAGGAGGAGGAGGAGGAGGAGG